GAAGTTACCGACTAACTGTACTGGCAAAGGGGGATGAAGTTACCGACTAACTGTACTGGCAAAGGGGGATGAAGTTACCGACTAACTGTACTGGCAAAGGGGGATGAAGTTACCGACTAACTGTACTGGCAAAGGGGGATGAAGTTACCGACTAACTGTACTGGCAAAGGGGGATGAAGTTACCGACTAACTGTACTGGTAAAGGGGGATGAAGTTACCGACTAACTGTACTGGTAAAGGGGGATGAAGTTACCGACTAACTGTACTGGTAAAGGGGGATGAAGTTACCGACTAACTGTACTGGTAAAGGGGGATGAAGTTATCGTGGATTAAAAAGCCATTTCCAGGATTTTCCCGGTGCTTATTGGATATACATAATTTGTTGTTGTAGTATCGGGGTGTTTTATTGGTTGAGATCGAAAGTCAAAAGATATCGTTATAACCAATAAATGAAGCTTAAAAATTAATTTAAACATTTTGCTGTTTATTATTCTGTTTAACTTTGTTTATTGTTAATCTCCATAACAGACTACCTGTGCTCTGACACTACGGGTATCAAAACCAGATTCTTAGCGTTATAATCCTGAGATTTACCTTTCAACCACCCGGTGGGGGGTACTGTTTAACTAGAAGATACTTTTAGACAACTTCAATTACAAAAAAATAAGATAAACTAAGGGAAGGGCTCTGGAACTTTGAGGGTTTTTTCACCCCCACAAAATTAAAAGCAAATGTACGTTAAAAAATAATGTAATTTGTTGAAATATTTTAGTTCACTTCCAACTTTATCAACATATCTACGAAGGGGTTTCATCCTTAGTAATGCCAGGGGTCCGTTGTTGTTGTTGAATTTGATAAGCACTTCATTCATAATTTGGATGCTTTAGAAAGAAAGGAGAAAGGCAGAGGAAAGGCCTTTAGAAGGCAAAGGAAAGAAAGACAATTATTTCACTACATGAAGGCTGTTTGTTAATTTTTAGAATTATAAGCGCTCAAACTTATCGACGAGGCCCCAAGGCTTGCCAAAAGCTGTCTACTCAACATTTTGACAAACAACAACGGTATAAAAGTTTTCTGAATTATTTGTATTTACGTGGACCATGTTTACGGTTTCAAAATATTGTATTTTAGGTGTGTGCGTGCGCTTTACGGGTTGGAGTCTTTAGGTGGGTCAGCGCTAACGTCAAAGACGTTTAAAACACTGACATCCGGGTTTCGATTCCCCGCGGTGGATATCGCGCAGATAGGTTATTTTGTAGCTTTTAAGGTTAAGAATTGATAAAACTATTACAAGAAAAATTTAAGTTAACTATAAGTATCAAATTAGTAATTAAATAGTTTCAAATAAAATATTTACTATTATTTGTACATTCTTAAAGCTGTTCGAACAAACAGATTTTGACGTCGCACTTAAAAACTCCCATCCCTCCTCCAGTATTGTTAAGGGGTGTTGCAAAATAAATCACATAAAAAAACATTTCAGCAATGCAACAAACATGTCTGTTTCTGTGGCTGTCTCTGTGAGCACATTAGTGGGAACATGAATCAAGGTTTCTCGTTTGTGTCTCTCGCATTCAGGCAAAGTT